ACTCCGATTTCCTCCCATAGACCAAAAACATGCATGTTAGGCTGATTGGTAACTCTAACTTATCCCTAGGTGTGAGTGAGAGAGTGAATGGTTGTTTGTCTCTATGTGTCCCTGTGATGGACTTGCGACCTGTCCAGGGTGTTCCCCACCTCTTGCACAGTGACTGCTGGATATGGGCACCAGTGATCCCTGTGAAGCAGGTAAAAGATAATGGATGGATGGATACTCCACTTCCAGAAGGTGTCTCTTTGTGACAAATTTGTAAAGGATAAACAGCGGATGCAGAGATGGAGTGGAGACCTTAGTGTAAAGAAACTTATGCCAGCATTGTACACCGCTTTACTGAAGCTGGATGTTCACGTGAAGCACCGGGAAATGAGCACCAACACAACGATTCCCCAGGTGCTCTGTGCCATGTGTCTCGTGGGAAAATGAATGAAGGTGTGTGGGGGAAAAAAAGAAAATTTTGTTCCAAGAACAAATATTGCAACCACATGACTGCAAATTGACAGCACTGCTTTGGATATAATGTAGTAAATAAACAACCTTAAGGGGAATATAGCATACCTGTAAAAAATGACACAGATAAAATATAACTTATTGCCAGAAAAAGTGTTATCATTGTGCCAATTTTAAAACTAGCATTCTCAGCAACATTATTTTTGAAAGTAAATAACACACTGTACAAAAGTTTGCATCAAAATAGTTTACATATGGAAAAAATTGACAATATATTATGAATATTCTCACTAAGAAGTCATTTTAAAGCTAAGACTCATGGGAATTTTTAACTGATCCTTTTAAATGTCTGCTAGCTGCTAGCTGTGCAGCAATGCTAACACTAGAGGTTGTTCACTTTATGGACACAGGTTAAAAAAAACTAAAAACACCTATAACAATGGATTTATAATATTTTACAATTCCTCACACTAATTAAAGAAAAAAAGCTTACAGCTGGTGAAAGAAAAGAAAACGTAAGACATGCAAATCAAAAATAAGTTAAACAAAATTTTAACGTGTTATATAAATGTTCAAAACACATGTAGCTAAACACAGGACTTGTCTGAGTTTGCAACATTTACATTAAGTTTTTAACCTGAATCAGCAGCCCTACCCGTCTGAGTCCGCGACTCGAATCAGCAGCCTGACTCATCTGAGTTTACGTTTCTGGTACTTTCTAAACCAAATCAGTGGCCTGACTTGAGTACGCAACGTTTCCAGTGAGTTTTTAACCAGAATCAGTGGCCCGATTGTCTGAGTCAGCAACATTTCCAGAAACTCAGCTTTTTTGTGGTGAAACTGCTAACTTGTAGACATCGGCAGTCTGCCAGCAGACATGTTAATTAACTGGGGTTAATTAAGACCTTGGATTCATAAATCCCAATTCATTGCAAAGATTTGGATTGGTAAACCAGGTAAGTTGGAGAATAAACTTGTTTTGCTAAATGAATTTACATTTTTTGAAGTGTGAATTTTTGGGTAACAAAATTGTACTTATACTGTATTTTGTGGTGGGGCCTTTCTGGGTGGAGTTTGCAGCCCGAAAAGGAAGAAGCGAATAAAGATAATGGATGGATGGATGGATGGATGGATGGATGGACAACATTCTACAATTGTGCCGCTCAAGGTGGCTGCATGCTGGAGTAACTCTGTTACATTCATTCTGAGATATTACTTTTGAAAACTTTTGATTCCTCTTTTTCTAGAGGTAAATTGCATTTTTATTACAGATGATTGATATATGATTGTTATTAACCATAACAACAAGGCATTTTTATCAACTGGGAGCAACTGTTTAACATCTCAAAAGCTCAAATAATACCTGAACTAAAGTCTGTAATCCGAAATGAGTTGAAAATGAGGTGCCGTGGATGCATTCCCGTCTACCTAGAGGTGGTGCTTGAGTACCTGATTGCCAAGATCCTGGAGCCGGTGGGAAACGCGGCTCTTGACAACTAGAAGACCAGGATTATCCTCTGACACCTGCAGCTGGCTGCCTGAAATGACGAGGAGCTCAACAAGCTGCTGGGAAGAGAAACCATCACTCAGGGAGGAGTTCTGTCCAACATTCAGGTGATCCTTCTGCCCAAGAAGACCGATAAACCCACCAAGTTCAATTGGATGTACATCTACAACCAGTTTCCTCCAATACAGTTCCTTCCAGATTATTTCCGCTACAATAGATCCTTCTGGCCCAGCCATCAGCATCTATAACACCTCTTTAATGGTGATGATGAGTTACAACATTCAATTTCCCTTTGGGATTAATAAAGTATTTTTAATTTGAATTGAATGGATGGATACATTAGTTTTAAAAGTAGTCATACAAGTGTTCAGTAAAATTTGTATTTGCACAACAAGATCCACAAGCATGCATAAACAGTTGTACAAATGTAGACATTTCAAAATGCACTATTAGGAATAATCTTTTCACATAAATTGACATGCATGTGAACAAAAATCAAAAGTTGCAGAGACAGCAAAAGCAGACAAATAAGCTTGTCTTTGAATTTTTTATTTTCTTCTGCTTCTTCCTTCTTCAGGGGTCACCACAGCGAACTGTCGTACAAAGACAGCAATTACTTTTACACCAGATGTTCTTCCTGACACAACCACATTCCACTGAACTACCACAGTCCTCTGTGTGGAGCAGAGAGCTGCCATCTAGCCCCCCTGGGGAGCAGATGGTGGGGGTTAAGGGCCATGCTCAAGGGCCCAGAGTGGGGTAAATGAGGGTGGAGACAGGTGTGGGTGCTTCACTTATTCCACCCACATTTTGATGTTGTTGATACTGGGAGTTGAACTGCCGATCTTCCGATCACAGGCCCACCTTCTCTAACCTCTACACCATCACTCCCCTAACCTTTTTTTTTTTATCAACTTTTTGAGTCAGTTAAATATTAATACCCATTAAGGAGGACATTCTTTAAGCAAAAAAAATAAACAAACATCAATTGTATTCTGCTTTTTCCAAATTTTCGGCCAACCAAGAGACGTAGACACTCCAGCGTGTCCTGGGTCTTCCCCGGGGTCCTCTCCCAGTCAGACATGCCCAAAGCACCTCCCTATAGGGAGGCGCCCAGGGAGCATCCTTACCAGAGTTTGTGGCCATAAGTGAAGGTAGGAATATAGACTGACTGGTAAGCAGAGAGCTTTGCCTTACAGCTCAGCTCCCTCTTTACCACAAAGGACCAGCACAGAGTCTGCAGTACTGCACCAATCTGTCTGTCAATTTCACGCTCTATTCTTCCCTCACTTGTGATCAAAACCTCAAGATACTTGAAGTTGTCCACATGAGGCAGAACCTCACCCTCAACCAGAAGAGAGCAATCCACACTTTTCTGACCGAGGACCATGGCCTCAGATTTGGAGGTGCTGATTCTCATCCCAGCCGCATCACATTTGGTTGAAACCCGCTCCAGTGAGAGCTGAGGATCACGGCACGATGATGCCCACAGGACCACATCATCTGCAATTAGCAGCAATGGAATCAAGAGGTCACCAAACCGGCCTCCCCCCAACAACACTCAGAGCCTTAAGGAAATCAGGACGGATCTTTTCCACCCCTGGAGCCCTGCTGTCATGGAGTTTTCTAAGTACCTCGACAACCTCAGCCACGGTTATGGAGAGACCAACCCCAAAGTCCCCTGAAAGTTTTGTCCATAGAAGTCGTGCCGGTGGAATTAAGGTCTGAGAAGTCACCTCCTGATGACATCACTGGTTGAGGTCAACGACACCCCACCTTCACTGAACACAGTGTTAGTAAAGAGCTGCTTTCCCTTCTCCAGCTGCATGATGGTTTGCCAAAATTTCCTCTGAGCTAATTTAGAATCTCTATCCAAGACAATACAAAAAGGTTAACTCGTGTCATCTGGACCAGTTTCTTTGAGAAACATTTCAGCCTCAATCTATCCAAGACCTCACCAAACTCCTCCCACATTTTAGCTCCTCCTCACATCCCAAATGAATATTTTTTTAATATGGAGGGGGACACGCCCCCTTTGCATATAATTAACGCAACACCTATGATTCACAGGGAAGCTGGTCCATCTGCAGTACATGATTTGTGCACATGAATTTGACCATTTGTATATACAGAGTATTCCTATTTGTGTATGTTGGCATACATTTGGAAGTTTATTATTTTATGAAAGTTTATGGATCATTTTGTACACAAATGTTGTTGTAAACTTGTGTCTACTTTTGAGATAAATTTATCTTCACAATTTGTTCTTAGATCAATTTGTGCCATTTGTGGAGGGTCTTCTTGACATTACTGAACCTAATCAGAAATACCTAAATCCAACCAGGAAGTGGTCTGTCAGCTTTTACTGCTGCTGTTGCCCCAGGTCTGGATGTGCAGAAGAAATGTTCAGGTCTGTGAGAAGTTTAAATTTACAGCGACCTTTTGTGTGCATGAACTCAACAGACACCATCATAAGCTTTTAAAATAAATTTTATTATTTCAACTATGAAAATAGGTTTTATTTTAAAGATTAAAAATTGACACTGAACAGGTTAAAAACCTTCATTATACAAAAAGCAATGTTGGAACTCACAAGATATTGAAGTTACAAGGCACAAAGAAAGAAAAAATTATGGCCAGAGGTGAAAAACCTTTGAGTGAATCGATGCCCTCTACTGTTTATAGAAGGCTGCATCTCTGGAACAGCATCTACGGACCAAGTAATTTTACAAAATACAACTACCTGGTGGAAGGGAAAAAAACACACATTTAGTTTGTTTTATTTATAGAAAGGCACCTCAAATGTGGAATATAGAAAATAAATAAAGATAATTGCATCATGTTCCAATTTTTATTAAAATAAACACGACGCCAGTACAAACCCTGAACAAACTTGCCTGTAAATGTCATGTTAAATAAACAATCTTGTAGTGCAAATTTAGTGATACTTTTTAGGAATCCTATGTTAGTGCATATATGTCTGGAAACACAGAGATAATGTGCAGTTTTGCAGAAGAACGATGAATGACGGGCATTATTTCAGAACGCTCCTGTGGGCGAGTGATGACAGATGGGTAGAGTAGTGGTCTGGGAGCTGAAATGAAAGGGGGGGGGGGAGGGGGAACCACAGATGAAGAAGCAGAACAGCCTTTAAAAAATAAAAATAAAAGCTCATGCAGTGCTAAAGTTGCTGAATCCATCTTATCAGGAAAAGTACCTGTGCTCCCAGCCTGGAGAGGTACCTGTTCCGCAAACTGAAAGCAGACATGGGCGTCAGCCCGGCACGCTCGCTCTGCACCGCCTTACTGGGCTTCTTCTTACTCCTGCAGGATAACAATGTGGCCACCATAAACATACCTACAGCCACTTTAACACAATGATGTCACTAATAAGATGAATCACACAGCGAGCTGCAAAAAGCCCAGGAACGTAATACAATATAAGAGACGATGGAGAAATACTGCAGTAATAAAAGGAGGATTCAAATCATTAAAAATAATTCAGATTTAATTGAATGTCAAAGGTCAATGCATCAAATGTGATTTGCTTCTACAAAAGGTAATCCTTTAAGTGACTTTTACAATTACATTTTTTTTAAACACTCAGACCATTAACAGTTGACGTAAAAAAAAAAAAATCAAGACAAATACCAGCATTTACACAAAATCCCACACTGCCATGACATAATGGTGCAAATGAAGGGGAAATTGAGTGTTTTGACTGTTTAATCACTTTTTTTAAATTTTTTTTATTACTGACCATTTCTGTACGTGTTTAATGTTCTCTGAACTAGTCGACTGGGACTTTTTTGCCCAGCTGAGGTAGTGCATGTTAACCATGTGCAACCTTGGCATCAGCAAAAATACTAAAAACATCTCCAACCAAACAAGAGGAATGCTGAGAGGTAAAAGAGTGCATGAACACATTGTTGCAAATGAAGTAAATTTGGAAAGTGCTCAAAACTAATGAATGACCTGAGCTCAAAAACAAGCTCTAATTGCCCGAAACATCATTTATATGGGATACTTTTAAAAATGGCCATAATAATAAAAAGCTGAAACTTACAATCTATTTCAATGTTAAATGCATTCATGAAAAGGTATTTTTGTTTTATAGACAAAACTTAATTAAAGCAATTAAAAAAGTAAAAATCTAAAATACCTGACAAAGAATGAGCTACATTCTCTGAGATTAATTAGCTTAAAAAGATTAAAAAGTGTATATGATTAGAGTTGATTTTATAACAAATTTTGGTTAGCAGGTATTAATGCTCATGTGATGAGCAAATCAAAAGAACTGGGTATTCTGCAATATGTCAACTGGAAACAGTTTGTAAATCTAAACGAACACCCAGAAAGTCCCCCCCAATACAAAAACATCTATGTCTGCAGTCATACAGAGAGAGATGGAACAGAGTGTAATCAAATCAAGGAATTTTAAGATACACAGACACTGTCCGGGTATTTTTTTTAACACTGTCCAAACTGTGTTCTGTCACTTGTCACGGATATAGATAATTCTATTCAGCATTGAGCCATAGCCATTCCCAGACAGTCAGTTTCAGGTGCGAAGAACCACAGATGACATCACTGGGCGGAGTCAGAACCGCAGTCCCGCCCCCTTGTGGCATAGGCTGAAAACTCTGGGGTGGACTATGCAGCCTGCTTGCTCTGAAGCCCAGGACCATGTGTGTTCCACTCATCATCATCATCATCATCATCATCTGGAAAATAGCAGTTACAGCAGAGAGCAGAAAACAGTCAGTGTGAACATGACCTACACAAACATGTAAATGACATGCGAGACTTAAAAATTTCAGTGTTGAGATAGAAGCAGAAATAAAGCTCTAGTCCTGCCCGCTGTGATGAAGGTCATGCAAAAAAAGAGAAGGAAAAAGTGGTTTAGCACTGGCACGCATCCTCATGCAGTGTGTGTAAAACTGAAAGCTTCAGTAAATGTAGCAAGAATTTACCAGGTCAGAAAACCACTTTCTGCATCACGCTGCAGAATATCAATTCTTTCTTGTTTACTCTACAGCACATGACGTGCATGGAGTCAAAGCATTTAAAAAAGAAAATGGACTAAGTCATTAGAGAAAGCTTTGAAACAAGTCAAAGTAAAACATCATGTGAGCTCCTGACCAAACCAACTAAACACAGAGTTTTATCAACAAACATGGTTATCTCTTTCTACAACCCAGATTAGCACCAGATTGTCTGGTTGTCAACTAAATTAAAGGTATATCTCAGATCTTTTGAAGTTTTTTTTTTTTTTTTTGGGGGGGGGGGGGGGGGGGGAATATGTTATCTTTGTAGACTGATCTTTGAACGGTCTTTGGAGAGATTGAGTTTAATCTGCCTGAATGCCGAGCTGACAGACCAGGCCAAGGCTAAAGTAAATTGCTGTCAACATGAAACAACTGCAGTCTGAAAAATCTAATTGTTGATGTGGATGCTATTTTATAAATAATAACGCAGTCATTCATTTTGCGCAAAAAACACAATCACCGTATTTTTCAGACTACAAGTCACTTTGTTTTCATAATGTGGCCAGTCCTGCGACGTACGAAGCGACTTATATACGTTTTTTTTTTCCCTATTCATGACACAATTTTTGACAGATGCATTAAATGTTCATTCACACAGACACGAACCAAAGAGTAAACATTACCCTTTGCAGCAGCGAGAGGGCCCTCTAGGCTTTTGACAACTATATGTTGTTCCTCTTCTGCTAACTCCCCTCCTCCGCCCCATCTTCCTCTGGAGTTGGCAAAGTTGTTCAGAAGCGACACCAAGGTAACTTGCTTGTCGGATTTGTTGGCTTGTCATGTTAATTAAGCCTGTTCAGTATCCCAGGTCTGTTCTGTGTGCATGCGCCATGTGCGAATATATAACTATCAGGAGGGTAAGTCCACGGGGGCAGGCGCACAACCCGTGTCTCTGCTGTGACAGACACAGACTCAGAAAAGGAAGGGAGGGGGCAGGGGGTCTGTCTTTCCCCATAGCTGCTGCAGGTTCGGTGAGACATTTACTGAGACAGGCAAGAGCGACTTGTTTATTTAAAATAATAAAGTGCGACCTGAACTGAGCCTTTAGTCCAGTCCCTTGGCGACCACTGAGCCGGCCAGGCCACCGGGAAATGTCAGCCCCGGTGTGTTATTGTTATTTCAGAATAAATGTCTGTTCTTGCACTTTGTGAAATACACTTCTAAATAAATGCGACTTATACTCCGAAGCGACGTATAATGTGGAAAATATGGTTTTCTGACAGAAATATTGATATGGTTATGTTTGTAGTGGTTTTACTGACTTTTTGGTTGTATAGTTTTATTTTTGTATAACAGGTCTCTCTTGCAAGTGAGAATTGTAAAAGTGACTAACCTGTATAAATAAAGAAAATTAAATTGGGATATTCTTGCCACAAGTGCCTCAGAAGTGCTACAGCTAGCTGTTGCTGTTTCTAATGTTACTTGTGCTTGTAAATAATCATAGAATAGAAAGCAATGCACATTGGTAAATGGACTGTACTTATATAGCATCTTTCTATCTTATCGAGACATTCAAAGCGATTTAAAGTAAAATCTGTGTCCTCATTTACCCATTCATACAGCACTCTACTAGATCTATACAAAGCTAATAGAACAAATCATTCTAAAGCGACCACTCAGTGCTTTATCACATTCATACACTGATGGGACACACATTGGAGGCAACAAGGGGTTCAGTGTCTTGCCCAGGGAGGGACACTTCGGCATGTGACTGCTGGTGGATTCGAACCACTCAGCCACAGCCGCCCTGGTCTTAGTCCCGCTCAGACTAGCCGTTAGATTGTCAGTCTAATCACAATTACACCATTTTGGCAAATTGACGTTGTTCAAAGAGCTACCTACATCAGGTAAGATAATAACGGTTTGTAACCTTTCCATAGAACCTTGTGCCAAAACATCTGGATTATTACTTTAGGCAAAAACTACCAAGGTGAAAACTGAGAAACTGAATAGAAAACTGGTTAAATTCCAGCAAAGCATTTAAAAATGTTCTCACAACCAAATCAGCTTCATTTCCTGAAAGTGTTATTATTCTCTGACGATGTTAACGATGATACAAACTTTTTCTCTTTATGAGGTCAGGGCTCACAGCTAGAATTGGACCATCCCTGTTTTTACTGCCATCATGAGGTCCAAAGTGCTCATAGGTGGCTCATTTTCCCCCTTTTGAGTAAGAAAATTATTCACACTTTATTCATTTTGATAACCGGGCACTTTTCCTTGCTTTTGCTTGGATGTGTTGCTTTTGAAGTTGTAAATTAACATTTTTAATTCATATACTTTAGCCTGTAAACAGCAGTGCCATTAGCACGTTTGCATAAACGACCACTTAAAAGCACAATGGAGTACAATCAACCATCCTTTATAATTATAGCTCGATTCAGCAGCCATTTACGCCCGTGAGCCTTGTAAACTATAATTTACTAGTCCTCCATTAAACAAAGAGCTGTAGATGTACAGTAAACTGAAGCTCTGAATGGGACTCGAGCAGTATGAGGATGGAGCGGAAACAAATCAATGAGAACTTTACCTGAGCCACACAATCTAAATATAAAAGAGGATCAATATAGACTCATTTCTTAGTTTGACGAGTCATTTCTATTCATTTTATTAACCTCTTCTTAGAATGATTAAGCTAAAGACACAATTTTTGGCTGAATGAGTCAAAGAGCTCTTACGGATCTCATTAATTTTCTCATTCAAATAATTTCTCTGTCACTTGTTATTATGAGTAAGTTGTGTTTCGGTTTAATTATTAAGTGGACGGCAGCGTTTGAGCGTGACAAATTAAGATACTTACTCTGCATCTGGAGTGGCTTCTTTCTGAAGTTTGGCTCTGGCTGCGGCTGACCGATTTAAATCTCCACCTGAAGGAAGGCAGCGAGATGAGATAAAGAAGTGAGTGAGTCTGGCTGTAAGCAGAAAGGGGGGAGAGTAAAGTATACAGATGTGAAAATATGAAAATGTGCAGATTGAGGGGAAAAAAAAAAAAACGAGGGAAAAACAGAAAATGAGAAGTGAAAAGTTAAGTTCAAGGCTCCAGACTACCTTTGATATAATCCACAAAGTACAGCATCACTACTGCCATCAGGGCGACTGCAAAACAAACCAAGGAGAATTAAGTATGTTATTCAAAAGTGTCAAACAGAACTTTGCACTCTGGATCCGACAATACTGACTGCAAATACAGGCGCAAAAAAACACTTCCAAAACCAGGTATCCTCTGGAGTCTAAGATGGCCCCCGCTGTAATGGAAATGACAGCAAGGCCAAGGTTCTGGATGGACTGCATGCTGGTGGACAAATAAAGAAGGAACTCCATTAAAACAAATTCTTAAATTAGCTGCTGGTGAGATGGCAAACGAACCTGAACGTTTTCTAGCGAAGCAATAATTATCCAATTAAAAAGGGCACTTACAAGCCATACGCTGTGCCCAGCTGATGTTCAGGCACCACAAAGGCCACCATGGGCCACAGCGCACAGGCCAGTAAGGAGTAGGAAGCTCCAAGCAGGGACTGGAAGACGAGAGTGCACACATACTTGTTTTTTAATACACACAAACATATTTCTGACACGGCTACAATATTTCATTAAAAAAATGTGTGTAATATAATGTCCCACGTCTTTTGAGTTTACTTAAAAAAATTAAAAAAGTGTTACCATGGCAATCCACGGGTTCCAGAAGGTGAAAGCTAGCATGATGTGAGCGGCGAGCGTTGCAATCACTGCAGTTATTACCCAAACCACATTCCTCCCCGTCTTATCTACAATAAAGCCCAGAACTGGAGATGCAGGTGCTGAGATGATGTAAACAATGCTGAAAAAGACAGAAAACATCATGAAAGGTCCATGTATTCAACCTTTATTTATACAGGTTGGTTTCATTGAGTCACGAGGACTCATTTTCAAGTGAGACCTGTTTTAGACAAACCACAGATAAGGTACACACAATAATAAAACAGTCATAAAATGCATAGAAAATAAAAAAGTAAATAAAAGAAGTGATATAAAACAAAATAAAATCATGCTACTTTATGAAACTAGGTAAAATACTAAAAACAGGAACATCTGCATTGATTTTTGCATTGAACTTAACAATAGTTTAAAGTCACTTAGAGAGGTCAAAGTTGTAGTGAACTAAGCCTAAGGTCAGGATTTGATCTTAAGAACCATATGGGGCAGAAACTGTCATTTCATTGATTTGAATCCAGAAATACAGGTTGACCCATCCTGAGACTTTCTTTCTTGAAAATTCAAGTGAAAGAACACTCTCTTTTTTATTATCATTACTATTTTACAAATGTTTGATAATCAAAGTGTTTTAGTTCAAACCATGTTAGATGTTGTAGTGAACTAATCAATTTTTATTAACTGTGAAACAGTAATAATAATTTTAATCCTCATGCAAAGTTAGAATTCATGTTAAGGTCTGTTACAGAGTAATTATGCATTTTCTGATTTTCTGTCTTTGAATGAGCAAGTGTAAGTGGTCCAAGGTCGGAGTCAAACGCAGACAAGTGTTGGAACGAACTGTCTTGTTTTTACATCCTCTCAGACGTAAATAGAGAAGTTGGCACAGACGTAAATAGAGAAGTTGGCACCTGTTTTTCCGCCAACTCGTCTAAATATCCCTCTCGTCTGTCTAAAAACATTTTCAATCTGTTCCATAACATTCTTGCTGTTTTTCTGACTTCTAGTAACCTCTTACGTCACAAAACACACCCCTGTCTGGTCGATATTGACCAATCAGAAACTCCCAGATGAACCGGAAATAGAGCTCTTTAAAATGTCGGTACTTCCTAGTTTAAACCAGTGTCTGGAGAGTGTCCGGAGAGTGTCGAGAGTGGCGTAGAGTTTCGAGAAGAGTCGAGTTGGAGTCGTTGCAGCTCCCGTGCTGGGAAACAGGAAAATCCTGACATGACCACAGAGCTCTTCCGAGTCTTATGGGATTATAACATTTTCCACCTCTGGGGGAACACTGACGGACTCCACTCATGTGAAAGTCCACTCGTGAGGTGAATTTGTGTCGGACGGAATACCGTCACTACTTCGGACGATTCACAGCTGTTCCTACTGAGACGCTGAAAGGGTGCGTTAAATGGAACTTCGTACCAGGGACATCTCCAGGTAAAAAGTTGATTTATAACACCTAAGTGTACTGGGGAAGAAGCTGAAAAAAGCCCGGAGAGTGCCGTTCTGAATGCTGACACAAACAAACCCCCTCACCCATCTTTTTCTCCCTTTAAACTTCATCTTTCCATCTTTAAATTCTTCTATCAGGTAGAAATCATTCCAGATATTTTAGAAATGTCTGTGTAAAGTTCTCATCCACCGCCGTGTGGATAATCAAAATTGTACAGTTTGCTAAACTAGCCATGTTGTTATTTTTCATATTTTGCCAATTAATGTAAATGTGTGATGTGTTAAACTTTGATTCTGTTAATAAATGACCGCATTCATTTTGATGGGTCAAAGATAATTAACGTCTCACGTTGCATTTCTAAATTCAATGTACATTATACACAGTCCAGAAAAATGAAAGAATCCGTCTAATTGATGAATATATCTCATGCATATGTTCATCTACAAAGTCGAGAGTTTCAGATCTTTTTGTAAGGTGTTCCAGGAAACAGGAGCAGAGTAAGAGAAGGCCTTTTTGCTGAGTTCAGTCCGCACTGAGGGAACATTGCAGGTAATGATGTCTTGAGAGCGCACGCTGTAATTGCACTGACGACGTGACATGTAGGAGGAGATGTAAGAAGGCAACAAACCAAGGAGTGATTTATAGATGAAAATGTACCAGTGAGAGAGTCTGCGTCAAGTTAATGGTGACCAGTTAACCAGTGAATACAGGGTGCAATGGTGGGTACGGTAGTTACAGGCAGTTATGAATCTTAGCGCACCATGATAGACAGCATCCAACATCTGCAGGGAGCTTGTAGGAGCGTTCATGTAAATAATGTCACCATAGTCAGTGGCAGGAAAGTAAGTAGCAGCTACAAGGCGTTTCCTAGCGTTCAGCGTTAAACAAAATATATTTCTGAAAAAGAAACCCAGGTTTAATCTCAGTTTCTTTATCAAGTTTTCAACATGCAGCTTAAAAGAGAACTGTGCATTGACCAAGATTCCCAAGCATTTGTAAGAATCGACAAACTCAATAGGGACACCATTCGTAGATAAAATACAAGGAAGGACTGCTGGTACTGACTTCCTGATTGTAAACAACAGCAACTTTTGTTTTATCAGCATTTAGCACCAGTTTGCGACGGAATAAGTCTGAATGGATGATGTTGAACGCAGACTGTAAAATCTGGAAAACCTTAGCAACTGTTTCAGCTTGACAGTAAACTACTATATCATCAGCAAAAAAATGCAAGAATGGATCAGGAATGTTCTGACCTACATTATTTATGTAGATTGTAAAGAGAGTAGGCCTTAAGACTAAGCCTTGTGGTACACCATTGTTTATAGTTAAATAAGTAGAAGTACCACTATTGTGTTGAACACGTTGCTTTCGGCCTGAGAGATCATTAGAAAACCAACCGATAGCGTGATCTGAGAAACCAAGGTCTTAGAGCTTACGACAAGATGTCATGGTCCACAGTACCAATAGCTTTAGACAGGTTTAAATAAAGTGCAACACAGTAATCTTTAGCATCCAGTGCTTCAACAACATCATTAAAAGCCTTCAGTGAAGCAGTCATTGTGCTGTGTTGTTTCTTGAAGCCAGATTGAATGAAAGATAAGATGTTAAAAGAATACAAATACTTCTTGACTTGAGTATTTATCTACTTTTCTAAAACCTTAGCTAAAATACAGAGTTTGGAGATTGGTCAATGACTGTTAAATGGTAAATGGACTGTACTTATATAGCGCCTTTCTATCTTATTTCAAGATACTCAAAGCGCTTCACACTACAATCCGTGTCCTCATTTACCCATTCATACAGCACTCTACTAGATCTCTACAAAGCTAATTGACAAATCATTCTAAAGAGACTAATCAGAGCTTTATCACATTCATACACTGATGGGACACACATCAGAGGCTATGAGGGGTTCAGTGTCTTGCCCAGGGACACTTCGGCATGTGACTGCTGGTGGATTCGAACCCCCAACTCTTGCATTGGAGGATGACTGCTCTAACCACTCAGCCACAGCCGCTCCGTGATTGTTCAGTATAGTGGGGTCTCCTCCCTCCCTCTCATATTACTTGGATCTTCTTAACACGATTATAGGATTTCCTGGTCCAGTACCAGAGCTCTGTTGTACAACCAGTCTTTAGAGCCACTTCTTCAGAGCTGACTTCAGGAAGTGTGGTGACACACTTCACATTAAAGATGGTTAAATACACAAAGTTGAAGACTGCAGTCATTACTTTGCCCAACAGTTAAAGATATTTCACCTTGGTAAACAATCACGTACGTTGTAATTTCTCTTTTAAAAAACATCTATGTAAGCCCTGGTTTATGTTTGTGCTTTTAAAAAAACAATATTAAAATTGCTAAGATTGAAATAGTTATTTGGACTAATTTTAAACATTATTTATTTTTTTTAATCCACTTTGGTGTTAATATTCACAGAAACAAACAAGTCTGAAACTTCTTCCCTTGTCTGGAGAAAATGAATAAAATAAATAAATCAGCCTGCACATATAAAACACTAGAAAAAGGTTACGGATACAGACTTAAATGGCCAACCTTTTTCCTGAGGTCAAATCAAGTTTAAAAGAGATGTTAGAGTTAACGTCAAATTTAAATAGTACCATATTATAAAAGTATGTTTTAGACATCACGTCCCACTTCTGTCATACAGAAAATGCAGTATAATTTAGAAGTAATGTTTAAAAGAGAAAGGTGATTTTATTTATTTATTTACTTATTTTACTTGGGAGTTAAATATAAAATATCTGGCAAATGCAAACTCTTCACTCAATATTAGCGAGACCAAAACAATTTGATTTTAATTTTAGTGGAGTTAGATACCCATGTATATGCTGCAAGCACAGAAAACACGCAAAAAGTTAAATTTTCTTTAAGAAGAGAACTGTTTTTGTTTTCAATTAAAATAATAATAATTATTACTGTCCTGCAACAGTTTGGACTAAACAGCCTATCAGGCCTGATCTGACTTACCTGTTGACAGCTCTGGCTTGGGATGGAGAGAAATTGAATTTTTCGATGAAGAAAACCCTAAAAAAACAATCAAGACAAGATAAGACTCACAGAACACAAACTGCACGTTACAGACTTTTATAAAACACACAAAGCGAGGAGAAAAAGATCAAAGTTCATGCTCAAAAATCCAGGTAGAAAATCCAACAAAGTCACGTCAGCTCATCTGGACGGTTTATTTTATTTTTTTTTGTTGTCGAGACGTTTCGTCCTTCATCCAAAGGACTTCATCAATATGAGCCACAACAAACCGAGTCCCAGTTCAGTGAGCATGAATATACTCAGTGTCACACATACATCAGTAATTTCAATCCTTCAAAACAACATTTCTAACCAAATACTTCTGTTTTTGTAAAAGAAATTAAAAAAATTTAACCCCCACACCCCCAAAGAAAACAGATCAAAATTCATAAAAAATATCCACTGCATTAGGATGACTGAGCAATTTAGCTGCTACTTCTCTAAATGTTATGACATAAAAGGAGAGCTAATGAGGAACTGCTCTGATGGCAAGTGATACCGAGACATTAGAAGACATTTGTGTGTCCAGCAGTGGTGGGATGTAACTAAGTACAAATACTTCGTTACTGCACTTAAGTACATTTTTCATGTATCTGTACTTTACTTAAATAGAGTTAAATGTGGGTACTTTATACTTTTACTCCACTACATTTTACATCAAGTATCTGTACTTTCTACTACACTACATTTCTATAATGTGTTGCATTACAAGTTACATTCATGTTGTGGCTTTTTGATTTGTTTGTTACTTTGAAAGTAACTAATGATGAGAGGGGAGCTGGTCCAGTGAATCACTGCAAAGTGGGCAGGTAACATTAGGCCCGCCTTCAAGAAGAGCTGGGCCAATGACATATATATGTCACTGAGCTGGGTGCACCCGCAGCACCACTACACCCAAAATGTATTCCACCGCAAGAGAGTCAGCCAGAAGATATGCTCCACCCATGGCCTTATTGAAAGACTGCTCAGTACAGCAGGACAGATTCTCTCTCCCAAAAGAGCCAGACTGGACTCAAAGATCTTTGAAAACCAACTTCTTCTGAACTTGAACCAGAAATTCTTGCTGCAATATTAAAATGCGTCAGTTCATGGGATGTTAGGAGACAAGAGATGTCTCAAAATGGCTCGACACTAGGGTCCAAGTTTTAAAAATGGTGTCAGGAAGTTAAAATATTGTTCACTATTGGCCCATTAAATGATTGAATAGACAGTATTTTAACTAGAGTTGATGAGAAACTGGAGTTGAAATGATCAGAGCCTGTTCCTTTGTTAGTTGTGTCTAATGCTCCTTTTGCTCAGGCAGACAACTTTTACTTAAACGTTTTACTGCAGTTAAAATGACACATTGGTTTTTCTCTGTGTTAAATAAAAACTTTCAAAGGTATAATCATTCCTCTTTCTTATTTTGCTTAATGACATTTAACTTTGCATGCCATCCCTGAAATTCTGACACAGAATCACAAGTCCAAGTGTGAACTGTGTCACAGAGTAAACACAATAAAAACATGTATTATCTGCAGCATTGTTCATTAAAATGGTTCAACACTATTAATGTATTACAGAAAATATACATACGGTAGGCAGACTTAAAGATATGTAGACCATTGCATTATGTAATTAGGAAGTACTTTTACTTTTAAAACTTTAAGTATTTTAAAAGCAAGTACTTATTTACTTTTACTTAAATAAAAATGTTAATGTGGTACTTCTACTTTTACTAGAGTACATTATTGTCTGTTTATTTGTACTTGTACTTAAGTACAGTGTTTGACTACTTTCTCCACCACTGGTGTCCAGCAGATAAAATACTCACTGTCCCAGTCCAATAAAAGGGAAAATGGCTACATAGTAACCGACACAGATGATGAAGATGAGCCACAAGGTGACGGGGAAATCTTTCACATCAGTCAGCTTGATCACCTCACCTAAAAGAGGAGATTAAAAACATTATATAAGCAAAACAAAACACACGCCAAATGTCACACGCAAAGTATGAGTTATCGACTCTCGGCACCAAAGTTTATCTGAATATCTGTAAAACCACTTGAGTTAGAGCCATGTTTGCATCAATTAATGTTGATTAGCTGTGGCAAACCCTTTTGAACTGAATTAAATCAAAAGTTAAATCAGTTGAAGATGTACATCCAATGATTACTTTCTGAATGTATGTTTCAATAAAATCATCCCGGTGGTTCATAGAGGATATCTGCCAACAGACAAACACACATATTCACCTTTTGGCATGAGAAGTTTTTCACAATAAATGCACACTCTCCTCTTTACTTACAGTACTCTAAGATGTACTACTGTACCACTACCTGTACTTGTGACATGTATGGGGTTTACATTGTCACTTTTTCTTGGTTTTGTTGCCTTTTACAGCATTTCACAGGAATAAGGGATTGCTTTTTTGCTGTACGGTGTCCTTGAGTGCCATGAAAGGCACCTTCAAACAAAATGTATCATAATGATAATTATTACTTATGACTCTGGCCTTAAATGGACGTCATGAGGAAAGAACTAAGGATCAGTCTGAACAAAAGTGTGAAGCTAAACTGTCCAGCTTCACTATCAAAAAACCAACAGAACATCAATCAAAAGAGAAACACGATAACACACATTATCTCAGCATACCTGTCTTCTCTTGTTCCTTATTCAGGATCCTCTCAGCTCTCTTGTCAAGAAATGCCAACACCAAGGCACAGGTTAGAGAAAACACACAGGTTGCAGCAGCTAAAAAAAGAAAAAAAGTGTTAAAAGTCACTTTAAAAACAAGATCACAGAAGAACCTGACAAGTATTGACTGATTCTGTCAATATAAACTTATCTAAAGTGGTTAGATTACAGTGTAGCTTACAGAGGGCAGTGGAAACGGACCATAAAAGACAAAACTACAGCAAAGACGGGCAAAACGTAGGAGCACTTTTAGATTACTGAGGACTTGCTGTGGGGAAAGAAATACAAGAACTGACACTTTTCCCAGCCCCTGTGATTCATCTGAGGCAGCAAGTAGCACTTTTAGTTCTTTTTACCACTTCTGTGTCTGCGCTGGCTGTGTTATCCGAGATCATCACTTACAGAGAATGGCTCAGATGTCTCCGGCACCGAAACGCGAAGCCAATGGAACCAAGTTAACCTGTCTAAATGAAGGCTGAATGAAAAGTGAGCGTTACCTACCGATCATGAGCGACACGCCTAATGCCGTGTGTCCGGATGAGCCGACGGCAAGCGCAACTCTGTTATACACCCAGCCCATGATGTTCATGTTCACTGTGCTGCCCTATGAACAAGGAGAGATCAAACCCAATTCATTTACATCTCTCATTAATTCCCAGGAGCATTACAAGCAAACAGTGCCAGAGTTGTTGCAGAAAGTCACTGGATCCACACCTTAACTGTCAACAGAATTCAAGATGGCTGCCAAGGCCAACTTGCATTAAAGACACGCCATCATTCTGACAAAAACCGACCTAAATCTTGCTTTGGTAGCAGCTGAGACTGATCCCCAACAGACTGTATATTCTGAGCAATGAGCACTAACAGACTGTGCAAGAGCTTGAAAATTTTGATGAGCTCTCTGTTAGCAAAATATTCAATCTAATGGACAAAACTTATTGGCTGTTCCTCTATAAATAATTAGCCTTTGAAGCCAGTTCGTTTCAAAATAGCCAACTGTCTTCAGAAAGCACACTTTTCACCCCCTTATTTCATTTCTAACCGTTAAAATATCAAAATCAAATAAAAAGGTAAATATTTCCACCAAAATATTCTGTAAACAAAACAAAAATTTTCAAAAAGGGTACAGGAAGAAGCAAAGGCTTATCAAGTTCTGCCCCTAAGTTTACATGCAGATTCTGAATTCAATTTATATATAAATACATAAATACCCATACATGCATATGTAACTATACACGCAGACATGCACACATATCTATGTATACCTACACATACATAAATATATATACATCTGCAGATACAAATTTACTCTATATCACCTACAGATCAAATATTAATATGCAAACACACGGATTAACAAATTAACAGTTGGAATAACCTCATTTTGTCTCATTTGTTTTTATACACATTAAATTTGTACTTTATATTTTCTCTTGAATTGCGCAATATTTTTACTTTGCTTCATGCCTTCATCTAAGTCTGTCCACAAACTGATATGCGCATGCTTTTAAGAGTGCTGCGAACACAGGGCTGCCTTAAATAACATTTTCCTCTCATCAATAAAAACACTGTTTGATTTTTTTTTTTTTTTACAATTTCCTCTCAGTTCGTACCTTCCCTCTCTATTCTTGAATGAGCCTTAAATATTTGTTGGAAGCATATTATTGATGCTTACAAAAAAAATAAATAAATAAAATAAGGACTTACGGTTGCAATTCAGTCAGTTTTATACACTGCCTGGCCAAAAAAAGAGTCGTCACCTGGATTTAACTAAGCAAATAGGTATGAGCCTCCTATTGGATAATCACTGCATGGGTGATTATCTTTCATCTGGCAACAAGTTATTTAAGCCCAACTGGTGCAATGAGTTGCTTCTCATTTCTTAAACAACCATGTTGAAAGACACATCGTGTGGTCGTGGAAAAGATGTCAGTCTGTTTGAGAAGGGTCAAATCACTGGCATCAAGCAGAGAAAACATCTAAGGAGATTGCAGAAACTACTAAATTTTTTTTTTTCCTTCATTTAGCCTTTATTTATCCAAGTTAGTCTCATTGAGCCACGAGAACTCATTTTCAAGAGAGACCTGTTTAGGGAGCACATGGTGGGGTTAAGGGCCTTGCTCATGGGCCCAGAGTGGGGCGAATGAGGGTGGGGGCAAGTGTGGGTGTTTCACCTACCCCACCCACAATTTTTGATGTTGTCGGGGCCGGGGCGTGAACCGGCGATCTTCGGATCACAAGCCCACCTCTCTAACCTCTGCGCCACCATTCCCCTAAAATTGGGTTAAGAACTGTCCAACGCATTATTAAAAACTGGAAGGATAGTGGAGACCCATCGTCTTCGAGGAAGAAATATGGCCGATAAAATCCTGAATGATCGTGATCGGCGATCACTTAAACATTTGGTGAAATCAAATGGAAGAAAAACAACAGTAGCACTCAGGGCTATGTTTAATAGTGAAAGTAAGAGCATTTCCACACGCACAATGTGAAGGGAACTCAAGGGATTGGGACTGAACAGCTGCTTAGCCTTAAGAAAACCACTAATCAGTGAGGCTAACTGGGAAAAAAAAAGCTTCAATTTGCTAGGGAACATAAAGATTGGACTCTGGAGCAATGGAAGAAGGTCATGTGGTCTGCTGAGTCCAGATTTACCCTGCTCCAGAGTGATGGGTGCATCAGGGTAAGAAGAGAGGCAGGTGAAGTGATGCACCCATCATGTGTCTAGTCATCAATGCAAGATCTTGGTGAAAAATTAATGCAACACTGGATGAAAATGGATCTTGTGACATTGCAGAAGCTAATCGAAACAATGCCACAGTGAACACATGCTGTAATCAAAGCTAAAGGTGCTCCAACAAAATATTAGTTTGTAAACTTTTTTTTTTTTTGGTGGTGACTTTTTTTTGGCCAGGCAGTGTAAGATACTGAGCTAAAATGTAAACCTGGTGTGGTAAGAGCTAAAGGTCGCTCACACATACTGGGACATCTTGTGATATTTCTTGAATTTGTGCTAAATATTTTCAACGTTTGACCAAAACGCATAAAACCATGTCATTTCTCAGCATATTTAACATCTTATATGTATTTCTCAGCTTGTTTAAGCTCATGTTGCGTTAGCGACATTCTCACCAGGCGAGCCATGCTGAGCTGAAGACCAAACACCAGATTGAGCTCTTTGCCTTTAAACCAGTTGACTGCGTATGTGTTTTGGGCCACGGCCAAGGACTCTCCTCCGATGCTGTCGAAGAGGAGAGGTGAAAGAAGCGTTTAACGTATCCAAGCTACAAACCTGAGACTGGAGGATGGTTTTGGTTTGCTAAGATGAACTCTGAGGAATTTACAGAACTATGCAAAATGTTGTAAAATGTCTTTAAATGTTGCTTCCAAGGAGTCAGACTTTCTGATAATCTTTTAAAGTAGTTTGATCAATAGTTTTTTTTTTTTTTTTTTACTTTGGCTGGTATTTCACTTGTTTTCTGCCCAGTATGTGACATTCATCCTTCTTCTGTACCAGCTTGATCCTGTTCAGGGTTATGGGGAGGTGGTGCCCAGCTCCAGCAGTCATTAGGAGGAAGGGAGGTTTTTATTTTTTTAAAGAAGAAAAGTAGACAAGTGGAGGATAAAATACAAATTATCTGGTTTAAAATGAAACCAGAGCATCTAGCAGAAATCACCAAAAAAAGGGTTAAATCACATCATCTGGACAGTTTCTTCCAGATGATGTGATTTAACCCTTTTTTGATGATTTACCTACCAGGATGACTGAGTTTTCAAACGTTCATCTAGCAGAAACTTGTTTTTCAGAAACAAAAACAATTGTAAGTCATAAAGTACTATAAAATACTAAGGTACTACGCTAAAGTACAATAAAATACTAAAAAGGGATTTTGAACAATTAAGTGGAATGTAAAAATCAATGTTGACATGTTCATGTTTTTAGTATTTTACTCCGTTTAATAATGTACCGTATTTTCTGGACTATAAGTCGCACTTTTTTTTTCTCCATAGTTTTGGCCAGTCCTGTGATTTTTAGTCTGAAGCAACTTATTTACATTTTTATCCTTATTCATGACGCAATTTTTGACTGACGCGTTAAATGTTCATTCATACCGACATGAACCAAAATGTAAACATTATCATTTGCACCCGCGAGGGGGCCCTCTAGGCTTTTGAAAACTATTTGTTGTTCCTCTATCGTTAAGTGATACTGAGGATGAAGAATTCAATGGATTCAGTGATGTGGAATGAGATTGGTGAATTTACCGGTAACTTGCTTGTCAGACTCGTTGTTATGTTAATTCAGCCTGTTCAGGATCCCTGGTATGTTCTGGTGCGTTATAGTTATTTCAGATTAAATGTCTATTCTTGCACTTTGTGAAATACACTTCAAAATAAATGTGACTTATACTCCGAAGTGACTTATATATTGTATTTTCCTCAACATGAGGCTTTTTTTTTGACTGATCTGACCTCCACTCCGGAGCGACTTACAGTCCGGAAAATACGGTAGCTTGTTTTTATTTCATTTTATATCACTACTTTTATTTACTTTTAATTTTATATGCTTTTTTTATGACTGTTTATTGTTGTCTGTACCTCATCTGTGTTTTTTGTTCAAAACAGGTCTCTTAAAAATGAGTTCTCGTGATTCAGTGAGACTAACCTGTGTAAATAAGGTTGAATGAATGAAAAAAAGTATATTTGCTGTCCTTCATTTGATCATCTAGCACAACGCAAGATTTCAGCAGATGGCTCTTTGGAATTACTAAAATATTAGTGTATGTGACAATCTGTGACATCTTTGGCATTCTTTAATGAATTTTGCTAAAAAAAAAAAAAGGGAATAATTTGTGTTTCTGCGACAGGTTGCCAGTAACAAAGTGCCTAAATATCCAGTTTCTAATGGTTATTTGCCAAGTTGTCTGGGATTCATCAACACTTCAGTTTAGGTGACTTCTGTTGCCTCAATGATTCACAGGTTAGAGTAGGGTAGCTTAGCAAACAACAACAAAAACAACAACAAAATCCTCTGAAAATAGTCAGGTGCTGGACTGAAAATGAGAGGAAAAAGCAGTCAAACACCTAATATTCGAAAACTTAGCAGAAAGGTTGAAAGAAACGAATGAAGACAACTTTAAAAAGTTTAAGAGAAAGTCTGGCTAACAAGTTAACTGAGCTGTTTGTTTTACCCAAATACAAAACGTCCAAGTTCCATGAGCCAGAAAAGATTCCACAAAGCTCCAGCTGCAAATATAACCTGTGGAGAAAGACCGAGCGTTAAAAAACTAAAAAAATGTCATTTTGGTAATTTGGTCTATTTTGCATCTAGATGTTAAAATAAACCAACCTGTCCGACACAGACAAAGAGGGAAAAGATGATGGTTCCCAGTCTGCAAAGACAAGAATTGCACAACATTACTTTTTTTTCCCACTTTCGATTTTAGTCAAAAACGCAACAGGAGCGAAACAGGAAGAAAACCAACATGGAGTTAATGTAACATTTATTTTGTACCTGATCCCAAAAACCCTGTCAAGCAGAAATCCCCCCAAGAAGCAGAGAACCACGTTTGGCCAGGAGTACCAGGCGTACAGCTGCATGAAGGTTTCAGTGTTCAGGTTCAGGTCCTGGGACAGTCAGAAGAAAACAAAAACACTTCAGACATTAAGATCTAAACTTAACTGAGTAAAACAGAAATGTTGCTCATTATTAGCAGGATTTAAACACAAGGTTGATCGACAGTTCTGACTGGAGTTAGTGGGAGATATATTTCTCCAGTTTTAGCTTCTCTCCACTGGCTCCCTGTCAAACTCAGAATTGAATTCAAAATCATACTTCTAACCTACAAAGCCCTCAACAACCTAGCTCCATCTACTTTGTAATAATCAAGATCTTATTGTTCCATATTTTCCTAACAGAGCACTTCGCTCTCAGACTGCAGGCTTACTTGTGGTTCCTAGAGTTTCCAAAAGCAGAATGGGAGGAAGATGTTTCAGTTATCAGGATCCTCTCTTGTGGAACAAAATTGAATAGTTTTCATTTGATATCTTAACATGTGAGTCTCGACCTGCCATTGTGTATCTGTTCCTCTTAAACCCAGCCGGTTGAAGCAGATGTCCTGAGCCTGGTTCTGCTAAAGGTTTCTTCCTCACGAGGGAGTTTTTTTTCTTTCCACTGTTGCCTTTGTGCTCAAGATGAGAGTCTGTGATGGAGAAGTAGTCTGCTCCTCAGATAAATAATGTTATTAATTTACTTTATATATGAATGTTTCTGTTCAGTGTCCTGGGATGACTTCTGTTGTGGCTTGGTGCTATAGAAATAAACTGAACTGAATGCATCAGTTCTCTGTGTGAAAATTAATTTTTCAGTCTGGGATGTATAGAAAATGTTACCTCTGCACTATAAATTCATGGATTATGAGAATCAATCACCTGGATGACTTCAGTTTGAAGTGCAGCTGGATTATCATAACAGAAGTAGCTCCCTGGGACAAAAAAACAAAAACATTAAAAAGACATTCGAGCTTGTACAAGCAGCATAAACCCGTTACAAGCGTTCTGTTTGTCATTTTAGAGCTATTCCACTTTAGTTAATCGAAAAGTCTCGATAATAACTCGCCGGGATGATACTTACCGAATCCCAGGAAGCACATGAAGAACAGGACCACCACTCGGTGCAGGAGGCGGCTCGGGTCGCAGATGGCGGCCATCGGTCTGCCGGGTCCTCTGGCCTCCGGCAGGTCGGTGCACGAGCCCTCGTCCTCATCCCCCAACAGGTTCTGCCGCTCCTCCAAGTCCGCCATGTTCGCCTGTTTGGGGGAGAAGTTAGCGGCGCATCGAGAAGACGGAAACGACTGATCATATGACTCGTTAGGGGAGACACGTGATGGGATGACGTCACTTCGAGTTGAGCAGGCACGAGCGCGCTCATCAGCTCTTTCAAAATTTATTAGTGGATCCAGAGCTCTGTTTGGAACTATTTGCCGCTGCATGACCCACGTGACTTCCGCATTCCATTCTTCTATGGGAGTGTCGCGACTCTCTCTTTATTTTTTCTTTATTTATTTATTTATTTTTATTAATAAACACACAGAACTACAGAACACTACAAAATAGAAAGAAATATACAAACACTCGTGAAGGGTGTCATAACTACAGTTTACAAGCTGGGGGGCGCGGGGGGGGGGGGGTGTTACAAAATGATGAAAATTGAGAAATACATATATAAAAAACATTAAATGAAAAAAAAAAAGAAACATAAGAAACAAAAAGGAGCAAAACAATATGAGAAACTTAAAACAACAAGTTTTTTGATATATGTTGTGAAATGGTTCTAGCAGTTTTCCAGTTTTTTAATCTACTTATTGAAGAATAGTACAACTTGAATTCGTTCATAAAACACGGGAAGTAGGGCTTATTATCCCTCCACTTACTACAATGAATGTGGGACTTTGCTATAAGGATGACTATATTTATGGCATCAGAGTAAGCTGAGCTTAAATTATCCATATAAAATAAAATGGCATCAGCATCAAAGGGAGGAATGTTCAGTTTTAGATTAATCCAGTTTGTAATGTCAGTCCAGAAACTTTGTGAGTATTGACATGAAAAAAACAAATGTTCAAGGGAGTCATCTTCAGATTTACAGAAGGTACACAAATCCACCTCAAATTTAAATCTTCTGTGCAGAAGCATGGCTACTGGATAGATCTTATTTATTATTTTAAAATGGCTTTCTTTCACTTTAGGAGATATAGGCCATTTGACAAATTTTGAATGAGCAGAAGTCATTATGGTTTTATGATTTATATTGGGAGGTTTCTTGAATGAATCTTTGTTGTAATCATAGTAAATCATTTGTCGCATGCATTCATTGATCATCTTGTTATTACATTTGAGATCAACTAAACTACAGTCATTTAGTTTTAATGTGGGCATGGAAACGGTCACCTTTGAATACATAATGATATTTTTAATTAACTGAGTCAAGGCTAAAGGGATTGCTTTACATACCTTCATAAAATCTTTATGG